TCTTTGTTCTATTCATTGTGGGCCAAAGGGCCCATACTGCAGTGTACAGGTCTTATACATAATTACCTCAATCCTATTGAGTATTAGTCACTATCTTCAAAATGCTCCCCTACTGATGAATCTAACAGTTGCCTGGCATCCTTCCCTACAATTAGGTCTAGCATTGCTTTAGGATGTAGTAAAACTATTAATGCCTCCTCTGTCTCAATGCTAATTTGTTCAAGTATATCTCAGTGCCATCCCTCATTTCTCTATCAACACTATCCTTCTCTACAGTGAATACATATGTTTTATCTATGTATTAGGATGTAAGGATTTTCTATGTGCTGGCTTAAAAGGCTGACCTGGGCACATTCTTCCCCTCTAGGACTGTTACACTTTTTTATAATCCCAGTCAATAATAGATAAGTTGAAATACCATATGATCCTATTATTTTTATACTTTGGAAGTTTGCCTACATATTGGTCTTTCGATGTCTTCCTGACTTTGTTTGTTCAGGGGTCTGTAGTACAGCCCCATTTTTGTTCTTAATTTGGAAATATAAAATATATAAACAGGAGTAATTGGCCATCTGACCCTTTCGGTCTGCTGCGCAATTCAATATGATCATGGCTGATCATCCAAATCAGCCTGTTCCTGCTTTCTCCCCATATTCTTTGATCCCCTTAGCCCTAAGTGCTATATCCAACTCCTTGGATCCCAGGTAGCCGAACAGCTTGTGGGTCAGAACTCTTCTATCCTCTGGAAAGAGAGAAGATGTCTTTCAGCAGGAAAGAAACACCCAAAGCCTGAAGAAAATCAGTTTAATTTCCCTCACCAATTGTTGCAAGCTGTTGCTTTTAATCAATTGTCAGAGACCTTTTAAGATGTGAACCAGTCACTCTGTGCCTTCTATAAGCACCTGGAGAAATGATCATGGTTGGTCATCCAACTCAATATCCGTTTCAGATTTCTCTCTTTACCCTTTGATCCCTTTAGCCATAAGAACTATATCTAACTCCTCCTTGAAAACATTCAATGTTTTGACCTCAGTCACTTTATGTGGCCACAGGCTCATAACTCTGGGTAAAGAAACTTCTCATCTCAGTCCTAAATGGACTTCTGTGTTCTTAGATTGTGAGCCAGGTTCTAGATACTACATCATCAGGAATATCCTTCCTATGTTTAACTAGTCTAGTCCTGTTAAAAATTTTACTGATTTTTGAGATTCTCCCTCATTTTTCTAAACTCCAGTCAATATAGTCCGAACGGATCTGGTAAACCTATACTGCACTCCATAACTAGAACGTCCTTCCTCATAAGGAGAACAAAAATGTGTGCAGTATTCCAGGTGTGGTCTCACCAAGGCCCTTTAGAATTGCAGTAAGACATCCATGCTCCAGTACTCCTATCCTCTCATTGTGAGACCAGAAGCAAATGGGCTTATTAGTGATAGACAGCATGGTTTTGTGCAGGGGAGGGTGTGCTTCACTAACTTGAGTTTTATCGAGGAGATCATCAATGAGGTAAAAGCAGTTAATGTTGTCTTCATGGACTTCAGTAAAGCCTTTAACAAGGTCCCTCATGGCAGACTTGTACAAAAGGTGAAGTCACATGGTATCAGGAGTGAGCTGACAAGATGGATACAGAATTGGCTTAGTCATAGGAGACAGAGGGTAGTGGTTGAAGGATGCTTTGTGAATAGAGGGTTGTGGCAAGCGGTGTTCCATGGGGATTAGTGCTGGGACCTCTGCTGTTTGTGGTCTACATAAATAATTTGGAGGAAAACGTAGCTGGTCTAATTAGTAAGTTTGCAGACAATACAAAGATTGGTGGGAATTGCGGATAGTGAGGAGGATTGTCGGAGGATACAGATCAGTTGGAGGCATGGGCAGAAAAATAGTATTGTGGTTCAGTGGTTTCCGCTGCTACCTCAGGGCCAGGAAACTGGGCTCGCTTCCATCCTTGGGTGACTGTCAATGTGGAGTTTGCACGTTCTCCCTGTGTCAGTATGGGTATCCTCTGGATGCTGTGGTTTCCTCCCATAGTCAAGTGTGCAGGATTGATGGATTGGCCGTGCTAACTTGCCCCGTAGTGTCCAGGGATGTGTTGGCTATGTCGGTTAGCCATGTGAAATACAGGATTACGGGGATAGGATAGGGGGATGAGTTTAGGTGGGCTGTTTATCAGAGGGTCAGTATGATCTCAATGGGCTGAATGGCCTGCTTCCACACTATAGGGATTCTACAATTCTGGAAAAATGAGTTAATGGATTTTGGAAGGTCAAGTCCAGGTGGAAATTAGTGATTGGCAGAACGATTAATATAGAGAGATCTGGGTGTGCAGGCCCACAGAGCATTGAAGGTGGCAGTGCAGGTAGATAAGGTAATAAGAAAAGGCCTGTGACATGCTTGCCTTCATTGGATGTGGCATTGAGTATAAGGATAGACAAGTTATGCTGCAGCTTTATAGAACTTTAGTTAGGCCACACTTGGAATAGAATAGATCATATAATCATAGAATCCCTACCGTGTGAAAACAGGCCCTTCAGCCCAACAATTCCACACCAACCCTCGGAGCACCCACCCAAACCCATCCCCCCATAACCCACCTAATATACAAATCCCTGAACACTACAGGCAATTTAGCATGACCAATCCACCTAGCCTGCACATCTTTGGACTGTGGGAGGAAACCCCCACGCAGACCCAGGGAGAAATGCAAACTCCACACAGACAGTCACCCGAGGGTGGAATTGAACCTGGGTCCCTGGCACTGTGAGGCAGCAGTGCTAGCCACTCTGCTGCCCCAAATTGCGTACAGTGCTGGTCACCATGCTATCAGAAGGATGTGGATGCTTTGGTGAGGGTACAGAAAAGGTTTATCAGGATGTTGCCTGATACGGGAGATTTTAGCTATGAAGAAAGGTTGGATAGGCTGGGTTTGCTTACGCTGGAATGCAGGTGGTTGAGGGGGCAACCTGATAGTTTATAAGTTTGTGAATGGCATAGATAAAGTGGAAGTATGAGGCTTTTTCCCAGCGTGGAGGGGTCAAAGTGCAGAGGGGGGCGGGGGTAAAGTTTAAAAGATATACGAGGCAGGTTTTACACACAGTGGTGAGTGCCTGGAACACACTGCCAGAGGAGGTAGCGTAAGCAGGCAAAATAGCAGCATTCAATATGCACCTGGACAAATACACAAATAGGAAGGGAATAGGGGAATATGGATCCTGTAAGTGAATGTTTAATAAAGGGGGGCAAAATTGTTCGGTGCAGGCTCGGAGGGCTGAAGGGCTTGTTCCTGTGCTGCATTGTTCTTTGTTCTATGAAGGCCAGTGTACCCCATTTTCCTCCTTCACCTGCTACAGCTGCTTTCAAACTTTCAGTGACAGGAGTACAAGGCTACCCAGATCTTGTTGTACCCCTCCTTTATCGCTATTCAGTAATCTGCTTTTCTGTCTTTACGGCCAAAGTGGATAGTCTTACATTTATACTTCATTTGCCAAGCATTTGTCCACTCGGCTTGCCTGAATCACACTGAAGCGTCTCTGCATCTTCCTTTCGGATCACCCCAGCAAGCTTTGTGTCATCTGCAAACTGGGAGATATTTCACTTCGTTCCCTCAACAAAATTATTAACATACATATTGTGAATAGCTGGGATCCAAGTACACCACTAGTCATAGCCTGCCACTTGGAAAAAGTTTCCTGTCAGTCCTCTATCCATATTAACACACTACTCCGTGCTACATGCTACACCTTTATGTGGGACCTTATCGAAAGCCTTCTGAAATTCCAAGTAAACCACTTACATGGGTTCCTCCTTCTTAAATCTGCTAATTACATTATTTTAAAATTCCAGTAGATTTGTCAAGGATATAGAGGGCTGTGGGAAAAGGCAACACTTGAGCACCATAATCTATCCTGACACTAAGGGAGTGCTGTATGGTTGGAAATGCTGCTTGTTTGGATTCAACTTTAACCTGAGACCACATCTGCCCCTTCAGACAGTGGTAAAAGCCCCATAAGCAATATAGTAAGAGCCAGGGAATTCTCCTGATGTCATAGTGAATATCTCTCATCAAAAATCTTCCATTCTTTCTTCATTCTCTGCGGAAGGTAGATCTGACACATGAAACAATGACCATCACCATGGTAGATCGCCTGTTGGCACCAATTCATTCTCTGCCGATTGACATTCAATCGGATTGAGTCAACCGGTATCCAAGCAATTGTTGCTGTGGCAACATGCTTTTTCATACATGTAGCCTGAAGTGAGAGGTAATGATGGACGAAGCTCTGAATTCTTGCCAACACATGACAGCTGGCCAGGAATCTCTCCTCCTTTTGCTGCCTGCCGTTGGTGTGTGTAGAAAGGATTTGTAATGTGATACTCATTTGGTCTGCCTGCATTATGAACACCCTCTCCTTGACTCATGTCCTGAGACAGGACTCAAATCCAGAACTTCCAGACACTACCCACTGTTCTACAAGATCACCTCAAACAACACTAAAGAAAATTAGTGGCTTAAAATTAGTCGCTTAGCTCATTGCTGTTTGTGCAACATCGATGTGTGCAAATTGGTACTTGCCTTGGCTACGTTTCAAAAGTGCTTCCTTTATTGGCTGTAAAACCCGGTGTCTCCTCCCTGATTTGATTTACTGTTTTTCTTAATTGCAGGAACATTTTTTAAAAACTCATCAGTGGATTGCAAAGGCTTTGTTATCCACCGCAGATGGAACAAATATGGGTTTGAGTTCATATGTGTATGTTATTTATATATAAAAATATATAGCCAGCAGGGCATGGTAAATGTGAAGTGGTGTGGGATTCCCAGCCCAGAAGTGAATTAACACTGCTTTTTTCCTCTCAGTTTATAACCCATGGATGATATGGTGTCAGAAAAGTTGCGTCCTGATTGTTATGAGACTCTGGGGCTTTCAGCTTTATTTAGATTATTTCTGAGGTTCTACTTCTCTTGTAAGCCTGCAATCTCACTTATTGCTTTGCTTTCCCTCTAGATATTTTCTGAGAGTGACAATAGTGCGGAGCTTAAGTGACCTGGTAAAGGAATATGATCTGATTGTGCACCAGCTTGCCACATACCCAGATGTCAACAACTCCATCAAAATGGAAGTGGGCATTGAAGACTGCTTACACATAGAGTTTGAATATAACAAGTCAAAGTGAGTCAGTACAGCGCTGGGATATAATGCTTTTGATTTTATTCTTTACTTCTCGCTTGCCATGCTAAGTGAATTAGCCATGGTTTGGTCACGCCTCTGAGTCACAACGTAGTAGTTTCAGGCCCCACTCCAGGACTGCAAGATGTAGAAGTAGTCCGTTTGACCTATTAAGTCTGCTCCATCTTTGTGAGATTGTGGCTGACCTGACTCAACTCCACTTTGTTGCCTTTTCCCATAACCCTCTATATCCTTACTGATTAAAGATCTGTCTATCTCGGGCTGGAATATACTCAACAATCCAGCTTTGGCAACTCTCTCCAGTAAAGAGTTCCACAAATTCACTACCCTCTGAGAGAAGAAATTTCACTACAACTGTATTAAATGGGTGACTGCTTATTCTGTGATAATGCCCTGTAGTCTTGGACTGCCCCGCAATGGGGAAACAATGTGAAAGCCCATAAAAATTTTGTACACTTCAGTAAGATCGTTCCTCATTCTTCTAAACTCTAATGAGTACTGGCTCAACCTAGTCAGCCTCTCCTGATAAGAAAGTCCCTTCCCTGGTCAGCCTTGCATGCCGGTATATCTTCCCTTACACAAGGATTCCAAAAATGTACACCGTCTGGGGAGATAAATGTAGGTTGAAACTCCACTGCAGCACTGAGCACCATTGAAAGTGCAGTGTGCTGGCCAATATTTATCCCTCAATCAACATCACTAAAACAGATTATCTGGTTGATTTGTTTGTGGAGCTTGATGTAGAAAAATTGGTTTATTCTCTACATTATGACAGTGAGTTTCTTTTTCTTTATTCATTCACGGGATGAAGGCATCGCTGGCTAGGCAGCATTTATTGCCCACCCCTAATTGCCCAGAGGGCAGTTAAGAGTCAACCACATTGCTGTGGGTCTGGAGTCACAGGTAGGCCAGACCAGGTAAGGGTGGCAGTTTCCTTCCCTAAAGGACATTAGTGACCCAGATGGGTTTTTCCAACAATCGGCAATCGATTCATGGTCATCATTTGACTCTTAATTCCAGATTTTTATTGAATTCGGACCCAGGTCCCCAGAACATTCCCTGGGTCTTTGCATTAACAGTCCAGTGATAATACCACTAGGCCATCACCTCCCCCTATACTTCAACAGTACTTCATTACTGAAGCACCCAGCAGTAGTGAGAGTGTAAGTGCAAGTCTGCCCAAATCAGGATGGTGGAATGACTGTGAGAAAAACTGGTGGATAGTATGTTTTGATGGATCTGTTGCTGTCATCCATTTAGGTAGAAAAGCTCATGGGTTTGGAAGGAACCTTGATGAGTTGCTGAAATACATCTTTAAGATTGTACATACTGCTGCCACCATATGTTGTTGGTGAAGGAGTAAGCATTGAATGTAGTATCTGGGATACCCCACAGTTGGGCTGCTTTGTCCTGGACAGTGTCAAGCGTCTTGAGTGTTATTTGAACTGCACTCAGCTGGGGAGTATTTTGTCACATTCTTGACTTGTGCCTTGTAGTTAGTGAACATGCTTTGGGGAGACAGGAAGTGAGTTACTCACTTCCTAGCCTCTGGTATGGTCTTAAGTCGCACTATTTTTCTGGCTAGTCCATGTCAGTTTCTAGTCAATGGTACCCCCTGGTATTCAAATAAAATCAAAGTGCTGAAGAAACTTACCAAGTATGGCAGCATCTGTGGAGGGGGAAACTGAGTTAACGTTTTGAGTCTGATATGATATGATTTTGTGCATCAGAATTAAGATGTTAAATCTGTTTCTCTCTCCACAGATGATGCCTGACCTCCTGAGTTTCTCCAGCACTTTTATTTTCAGATTTCCAGCATCTGCAGGATTTTGTTTGTGTCCCATGATGTAGATAGTTGGGGGATTCAGCTGCACTGGACCTTGATGAGACCACGAGAGCAAATTTGTACAAAAAAATAGTCTATTTGAAAAAGATAACACTGCATTATTAACAGTTTAGGGAAGGTTCAGTAAATTTATTTATTCTTTGAAAAGATAATCTGATGAAGAAAAGTTGAACGGATTGTGCTTTTACCCTTTTGGAGTTTAGATAATACGTAATCTTATTGAAATGCATAAGATCCTGAGGGGATTTGACAGGGCGAATACAGGGAATGTGTTTGCTCTTCTGGGTGAGACTAGAACTTGGAGTTGCACAGTGGCTTAGTAGTTAGCACTGTGCCAGGGACCTGAGTTCAGTTCCAGCCTTGGGTGACTGTCAGTGTGGAGTTTGCACATTCTCTCCCCTTGGGTGGGTTTCCTTCTGATGCTCTGGTTTCCTCCCATAATTCAGAGATGAGCAGGTTAGGTGGGAAATGTAGGGTTACAGGGATAGGGTAGGGGTGTGGGTCTGGGTGGGATGCTCTTCAGTGGGTTGGTATGAACTCATAGGGCCGAATAGCCTGCCTCGCACAGTAGGGCTTCTATTGTATGAGCTAGGAAATACAGTTTAAGAATTTTAAGTCTGAAATTAGAATTTTTTTCTAAGAGCTGTTATTTTCTTTGTGGAATTCTTTTTACCAGAAAGCAGTGGAGACTCAAAATCATTGGATTTATTCAAGGCAGATTTTGATAGTCAAGGGTGATGGAGTGTAGGGTGGGGGTGGGGATCAGACAGAAAAGTGGAATTGAGACCACAACCAGATCGCATGACAGAGCTCAGAGCTGAATGGCCTGCTCCTCAAGTTCTATGTTCCTATGCTTCAGAATCTGAGGAGTTGCAAATGACGCTGCATATTGTGCAATCATCAGTGTGCATGTACACATACACCACTTCCTTGCATCATAGGATCAGGTCATTGATGAAGCAGCTTCAGGTGGTTGGGCCTAGGAAATTCCCCTGATGAAGGCTGACGGCACAGTGGTAGTATCTCTACCATTGGGCTTAGGGGATCCATTTTCAGGTACCACCTGCTCCAAAGGTGTGTAATAACATCTCTGAACAGGTTGATTCAAAAACATGTACCCTGACAAACTCCGGCAGAGATGCCATGAAGCTGAGAAGTGTTTGGAAGTGTTTCCTACGTTGAGCTTTAATAAGCCAGAGACAGTCAAAATGGATAGGGGCCACAGGCAGGCTTAGTTCAATGTGAATAGATCTATACCAGCAAAAGACAGTTTGATTTTAGCAGCCTTCAGGTCATTAGAACTGGAAAGATTTTAAAAACTGTAAGGTATTTTAGCAGTCCAAGCCAACAGGGCTTGAAAAAGCAGCTCTCAGTTCAATGAGGAAAATGTCAGTGAATTAGCTGGTGCCTGTGGGGCAGATGTGCCTGTGATTCACATCTGGCGAATGTGTTAAAAGTTGCTAAAAAGAAATGTTTGCAACCTAGTCAATTGAGTGAGAAATTAAAGAGAGGGAAGGAGTAATGTTTCACTGGGGTTGAGTGTCAGTGAAGCATATTGCTGGGAAATAGTTGAATCTTTCTTCTGGATTTTCAGGATAATATATTCTGACGTTGCCATGAATATATTGTCATGGACAAAGGGGGAATGGGGCACTAATTGCTCTTACTTCCAAAGACCTTCAAGGTTCATGCATGGCAGCGATTTCTGGAAACTGAAGTCAATGCTGTGAACGACATTGGCGCATCATTCGTATGCGTGAACCCTTGGAGCCACTGCGTGCAGAGCTTAGAGGGAATGTTGAATAGGGTTCGGATGCCCGCACCTATCCTGAGACAGTGAGGCATTCCTTGATTTACTTCTTTTCCTTTCTACCCCTCTCCTTTACTAAAGTGGGTCAGACCCTGCTTTTGGATTGCATTCGCTTTTCAAATTACTCCTGATATTTTCCTTTGTCCAGAGTTGGGTAGAAGTGGACAGCTTGCTCCCAGCCCCCTTATGTCAGTTTTAGACAGAATGTCTATCCAATGCACTGGGCTCAGAAGCTTCTGGAAGAATGATCATGTGCTTAGCCTCAACCAAATTGTGTCTGGCAACATTGTTCATTTTTAAACGAATTTAATAATGAAGACAGAAGCAAATACAGTTTATTTGGGATTATTGTTCATGCTGTCTGGCTATGAAATATATTTGACTGTTTTTTGACCGTTTAGAACATAGAACGTGCACAGTACAGGCCCTTCAGCCCACGATGTTGTGCCGAACTTTTACCCTAAACCTAAGGTCTATCTAACCTCCACCCCTACCTTATACTATCATCCATATGCCTGTCTAATAGCCCCTTAAATGCCCCTAATGAGGCCGACTCCACTACCCTCTCCAATGCATTCCACGCCCCTACCACTCTGAGTAAAGAACCTACCTCTGACATCTCCCCTATATCTACCTCCACTTCAGAAAGGACAGCCCTTCCGCTAATCCAACCAAAAGTATGGATACGCTATGTGGACGATACGCTACGTGGATGACACCTTTGTCATCATTAAACGGACCAAACTAGAGGCGACACGCAAACTTATAAACAACACCCTCACCAGAATAAAATTCACCGGAGAGGAGAAGAACAAACCGCTCCCATTCCTGGACATCATGGTAGAGTGCAAGACAAATGGGGAACTCTAAAAGAAAGTACACAGAAAAGCCACACACACGGACCAGGTACTGAACTTCAACAGTAACCATCCCAACACACACAAACGAAGCTCGTGCGAACACTATTTAAACACAACACACTGCAGCAATAAGAGCTATGCCAAGACGAAGAAGAATACCTCTTCTTCCAGGTTTTCAAGGATAATGGATATCCAAAAAACTGGGTCAGAAGATGCCTACACGAACAACATCAGGAAGATACTACACTCCCTGACACACTCATCAGACTACCCTACATCAGGAACACATCGGAACTAACCACTAGACTCCTATGACCGCTGGGCATCAGAGTGGCACACAAGCCCACATCAACCCTACGACAACTGCTCACCTGGACTAAAGACCCACTCCCTGCCATGGACAGGATCAATGTCATCTACAAGATCCCCTGCAGAGACTGTGAGAAACACCTACGTCGGACAAATAGGAAGGAAACTAACAACAAAGGTACACAAACACCAACTGGCTACAAAAAGACAACCAATACTCTCTCATCTCAATCCACATGGATAAGGAGAACCACCACTTCGACTGGGACAAGCTAAGCAGAGACAGGCACGGGAATTCCTAGAAGCTTAGCACTCCACAAAGAAAGCCATTAATAAACACATAGAACTCATCCCCATATACACTCCACTACGAAAGAAAACCGGAAGTGAGGCAGTCCGACTGCAGAAACCAGGCAGGAAAACACACTGACGCTTCATCGGAGGCTGCACTGATGATGTTACCCAGCATGGTAACGAAACGTCTGCGGAGCAACAAACCAGCTCGTCAAGCCAACCAACCTCCACACCCACAACCCGAGCTACAAATCTACTCCAAAACCTAAGCTACCTCCACTCACTTTAAAACTGTGCCCCCTCGTAATAGCTACCTCCACCCCAGGAAAAAGTCTCTGGCTGTCCACTCTATCTATACCTATGATCATTTTGTACATCTCTATCAAGTCACCTCTCGTCCTTCGTCGTTCTAAAGAGAAAAGCCCTAGCTCTCAACCTTTCCTTGTAAGATCTTCCCTCCATTCCAGGCAACATCCTGGTAAATCTCCTCTGCATTTTTTCCAACGCTTCCACATCTTTCCTGTAATGAGGCAGAACTGGACACAGTACTCCAGATGTGGCCAAACCAGGCTTTGTGCAATAGGTTATGATCTTCTTTAAATGTATATTGCCAGCCTCTTGTGAATATGTTCAGTGACTGAGCACTATGGTACCCAAATTGCAAGTATGAAACTTACGGTCTACCAAGCCAAGTTTCACCCTGGAATTTGACTTGTTCCGAACTGTCGTCATTGACAGGTGGACAGGACGGTGAAGAAGGCATTTAGCATGCTGACCTTCATCGGTCGAGGCATTGAGTATAGGAGTTGAGATGTTATGTTACAGTTGTATAAGTCGGTGGTGAGGCAGCACATGGAGTATTGTGTACGGTTTTGGCCACCGGTTATAGGAAAGACATAATTAAACTGGAAAGTGTGCAAGGATTTACGGGGATGTTGCCAGGACTAGTAGGCTTGAGTTATAGGGAGAGTTGGCCAGGATAGGACTTTATTCTTTGGAGCTTAGGAGAAGGAGGGGTGACCTTATTGAGGTGTATAAAATCATATGAGGGGCATAGATAAGATGAATGCATATAGTCTTTTTCCCAGAGATGGGGAATTGAAAACTAAAGGGCATAGGTTTAAGGTGAGAGGAAATAGATTTAAGAAGGACCTGAGAGGCTTCGCACAGAGTGGTGCTTAACTGGAATGGGGTGCAGGAGGAAGTGGTTGAGGCAGGTAATAGTAACATTTAAAAATCATTTGGATCGGTAGATGGATGAGAGTGGCTTAGAAGGATATGGTCCAAATGCAGGCAATTGCAACTAGCTGAGTGAGCATCATGGTCAGCATGAGCCAGTTTGGGCTGAAAGGCCTGTTTCCATGCTGTATTACTCTATGACTCTACTCTATCTGGGATCATAATATTGGGCTTGCTTTTGCTTTGTTAATAGATATCACTTGAAGGATGTAATTGTCGGTAAGATCTATTTCCTGTTGGTGAGAATCAAAATCCAACATATGGAACTTCAGCTAATCAAAAAGGAGATCACCGGTATTGGTAAGTAGGGCAACATGAACCTTCTGTTGGATTCAGTGTGCACGGTTGTCTGACATCAGGATATTCTGCTGCCTGATGAGTCTCACTTCTTTTTGTTTAGGGCCCAGCACAACCACAGAGACAGAAACTATTGCCAAGTATGAAATAATGGATGGAGCTCCTGTTAAAGGTGAGGTATCTCAACCAAAACCTAAACATCCATTGTTGGAATATTCCCAGGTTGGTCAGCCTCTGAAAAACTGGAGCAGGCTCATTCGGAAATGGTTTTGGAAGGGAGCTCATTTATGCACAGAATAAAACATAATATATTGAACTTGCCTCCTCAGACATTTATTTTACACCCCTTCCTGCCCTGTCTCCAGGATGTTTCTCTCTTTTTTTTTTTTTTTAAAAGTAAAATGTAACTTACAGCTAGTTGTTCCACATATCCTAGCTACTTTCATAAACCATTTGGCTCCTTTTAATGATCTACCAATACATAATGTAAGAGTTCTGAAGACTACAGACTTACGGTCAGCCTGATGTACTGGCAAGTGTTGACTTGTGAAGAGGATGTTGATTGATGTGTTTGTATTCTTGGTTACTGCTTGCTACTTCTCACTTAGAGCTGTGACTCCTGTTTCACTGAGGTATACTGTGATTGTGACATTGAACTACGGAACCACACAGAACTTTGTCTCCAGACCAACTATTTTTAACTGTGTACCAGCAAGGTGAAGTATTGGTGGCTACATGCCTGTCATTGAAGAAGGTGTTGTTAGCATGACATAATAGAGCGAAGATGTGGTTGAAGTGTGATTGTTCTGCTAAAGTATACTGATCCTGAAAGCAAATCCCTGTGACCAGTCTGTCAACTATAGCCGAGTCCCCCCCACTGTACAACAGTGAAGGAAGAATGAGCTTTGAATGCTTATGTTTAATCTTTCAGGAGAATGACTGATACTTTTGAGAACTTCAACATAGAACTCTTCAAGTTATTGCTCATTTTATTAACTTGTGAAATGAGGGTGTGGCTGACTAAGCCAGCATTTATTACCTGTCCTTAATTGGCTTGAGAAGGTGGTGGTGAGCTGCCATCTTGTCAGCTGCAGTCATGTGCTGTAGGTAGATCCACAATTCTGGAGGGAATTTCAGTGACAGTGAAGGAACCCAAAATATTCCCAAGTCAGGCTGGTGAGTGGCTTGGAGGTGAATTTGCAGGTGGTAGTGTTTCTATGCATCTGCTGCCCTTGTCCTTCTAGGTAGAAGTGGCCTTGGTTTTTAAGGTGCTATCTCAGAATCTTTGGAAAATTTCTGCAGTTCATCTTGTAGATAGTACATACTGCTGCAACTAAACATTGGTGGTGTGGAGGGAGTGTGTGTTTGTGGATATGGTGCCAATCAAGTGAGCTGCTTTGTCCTGGCTGGTGTCAAGCTTCTAGAGTGTTGTTGAAGCTGCACCCATCCAGGCAAGTGGGGAGTATTCCATCACACTCCTTATACGTTTTAGATGGTGAACAGACTTTTGGGGAATCAGGAGGTGAGTTATTTGCAGCAGTATTCCTAGCCTCTGACATGTTCTTGTCGCCATTGTAATTATATCATGGATTCAGTTGAGTTTCTGGTCAATGGTAAATCCCCAGGATGTTGACACTGAAGCATCCATTAATGGTAATGCCATTGAATGCAAAGGGGTGATGGATATATCATCTCTTAAGAGATGGTCTTTGCCTAAAATTTGAGACGTGAATGTTACTTGCCAGTTTTCAGCCCAAGACTGGATATTATCCAGGTCTTGTGGCATTTGAACATGGACTGTTTCAATATCTGAAGGATCATGAATTGTGCTGAGCAATTGTTGGCAAACATACTCACGTCTGACTTTTTGGTGGAGAAAAGGTCATTGATGAAGCAGCTGAAGATAGTTGGGCCTAGGACACTATACTGAGGAACTCCTACAGTGATGTCCTGGAGATTAAATGACTGTCATCTGATAAACAGAACTGTTTTCCTATCTTCCAGATATGACTCCAAACAGCATAAGTTTTCCCCTGATTCCCGTTGATACCAGTTTTGCTAGGGCTTGTTGATACTACGTTTGGTTAAATGTGCCTTGTTGTCTAGGGCTGCCGTTCTCAGCTCACCACTTTGGCATCTACCCGACGATGTGGAAAATTGCCCCAGTATGCTGCGCACAAAAAAACAAGACAAATCCAACTTGGCTAATTACTGCCCTATCAGTCTACTGTTGTTCATCTGTGAAGTGATGTAAGGTGTCATCAACAGTGCTATCAAGCAGCATTTGTTCTGCAATAATTTGCTCCGTGTCATCCAGTTTGGGTTCTGCCAGAGATGTTCAAACGTGGACCAAATAATGCTTGATAGCACCGTTGATGACACTTTCCATCTCTTGACTGACGATTGAGAATAGACTGATACGGCAGTAATTAATCAGGTTGGATTCATCCTGTTTTTTGTGTACACGGCATGCTGGGGCAATTTTTCACATTGTCTGATAGATACTAGTGTTGTAACTGTGCTATAACATCTTGACTAGGGCGTGCAAAGTTCTGGAGCACAAGTCTTCAGTATTGTTGCCAGAATGGAGACAGTAAGGACTACAGATGTTGGAAGCTAGAGTCAATAAACGTGGTGCTGGAAAAGCACAGCCGGTCAGACAATGTCCGAGGAGCAGGAAAGTCAACGTTTCGGGCCAAAACCCTTTGTCAAGACTTGGGAGGGGGAAGGGACCCTGGAAATAAATAGGGGGGGGGGGGGGGGGGGGGGAGGATAGAAATAATTGGAGAAAGATGGCTGCAGGTAGGGGGTTTTTGTGGTTGGACTCCCAGGCAACTCCCTCACGACTGTATACCACTCCTGATGAGGTAGAACTTATCCAGGGATGGTCTCGGTGGTGTCTTGGACATAGTCATACTCACGGAATATATCTTACAGACAATGTTGCTTGATTAGTCTGAGACAGCTCTCCCAATTTTGGCTCTTGACCCCAGATGTTAGTAAGGATTTTGCAGGGTTGACATGTTTTTGTTATTGTTGTTTCCGGTGCTTTGGCATTGACCCAAGGTCTGTCCGTTTCCATTTCCTCGTTTTGGCTTTGTAACAAATAATACATTTCAGAGGGTGTTTGAGAAGTAACCATATTACTGTGGGTCTTGAGCTACACGTGGGCCAGACCAGGTGAGACAGTCAGCAGTGGTCATCATTAGATTCTTAATTCCAGATATTTAGTGAATTCAAATTCCACCATATGCTATGGTGGGATTCGAACCGGTTGCCCAGAACTGAATTAATCGTCTAGCAATAATGCCGCAAGGCTATCCCCTCCTCTCCACTGCTTAGATCTAGTGAAGCTAAATTGCTGATTATTGCTGAAATTGATTAAATGAATACTCAAAGTAGAGAATAAATTATTCATTGAAAAGAACCCTCAAGTTATCCACCCTCAGGCAACTGTCTGTGTGGAGTTTGCACATTCTCCCTGTCTGTGTGGGTTTCCTCTGGGTGCTCCGGTTTCCTCCCACAGTCCAAAGATGTGCAGGCTAGGTGGATTGGCCATGCTAAATTGTCCATAGTGTCCAGGAATGTTTAGGTTAGGTGGGTTAGACATGGGAAATGCAGGGGTAGGGGAATGCGTTTGGGTGCGATGCTCTTCGGAGGGGCAGTGTGGACTTGTTGGGCCAAATGGCCCGTTTCCATGCTGTAGAGTTTCTGTAATTCTGATTCTGTGATATATCCCAAAATACACTTCAGAAAATGTACTAAATTCAGACAGACTGACCAGCTCAGACCCAGGCTGTGTTAGTGGAGGAGAGTGTTGGGGAAGTTTTGGGATATCTTGATCACAATATTTCTAATTATTGGGAAGTGGCAGATTATATTTCCATTGTTGGAGGAGTACTCAGCCAGTCCAAATCCACTAACCTGATCTCCATAACTGGGTGAGTGTAGCCAACCAGATGATTCTACAAAAAAGTCTGGAAACACTCTGCAAGTCAGGCTGCATCCGTGAGAGAGAAGCAGAATCTATGTTTCAGTTCCGTGATCATTCATCAGAGCCAAGAATCTTTAATATAATAGGTTTTACGTAGATAAAATGGGGGAGGGTGGAACAAAAGGGAAGGTCTGTGCTATCACAGTACACAGCTTGCAAAATATTTATTTATCTTGTGTGCTGGACTGATTCCTGCACAAATGAAACAATGCTGCACATTGGAAGTAATGAATTACATAGCTCAGATAGAACTGGTGAAGAGTCCAAGATTAACTAATGATTCATTGCTGTCAATATACAGTGTGAGATGGAACAAGTTAAGAATGCAATGCTTTGATTCCACACAAGCCTTGCTGAAACTCTACAGTGATTTGTTCAGACAGTGTCGCACTTGTGGGTTCATTTTGCTCAATTTTAGTTTAAACTGTCATGTTGCAGATTTAATAAACTGGTAGACTTGATTTGCAGTCTCTCAACTGGATCAAGACCTTGCTGAAGAATGGACTTTACTAGTTCTGGAATGATCGGTAACATCCTTCAGTTGATAATTACTGAATCCATAAACCATTTTGAGAGTCTAAAGCATTTAGACTCTTCTAATCAGTGCAAGCCACTGGGATTACCTGTGGAGCAGCGTATGTCTGCTGATTGCAGTCCCTAGTTTTGAGAAAGTACAGGTTTGTTTTCTGTGGAATTTTTCTCAAAGAAGCAGTATTTTTGGGAGCGCTGGAAAAATTATCACCAGTACTAAAGTCAGCTCATTCATTCAAGTTCTTTGTTTGTATATGAAGGTGAATCTATTCCGATCAGGCTCTTCCTGGCAGGTTATGATCTGACCCCAACAATGAGGGATGTCAACAAGAAATTTTCTGTGCGCTACTTTTTAAACCTCGTTCTAGTTGATGAAGAAGACAGACGATATTTTAAACAGCAGGTATGTCAAAGATCAGCACCCTTATTTATGTAATGCGCTGAGACTCAGCCTTCATGTATAAATTGGGTTTAGTCATCAATTATGTGTGTATTCTTTGCATGTTTGTTGAGGGTGGGTGTTTAGCTAGTTAATTAATGGAACAGCAGAACTGTATACTGTGGACTGGGCCTGGTGATATAGTCTGTCTTCCTTCGCCATCGGCTGTCTTCTTGGAAACCTGTATAGTCACCCAGAGCTGAGATTTTCTTGGCCATTGCATCTCTCCATTTAATAAACTACAATTCATACATTGTCATAATCAGGTTTTGAATTCCTGTCCCCAGTTTCTAGTTCTTTCAGCATTACCGTATGCTGCACAACAAGATCCAGTCGCTTCATTTGAAATCTTGAGTTATATTATTCATTCGCAGCTTTAGATTTCACTGGATGGACCAGCATCTTTCGTCCATTCCCAGTTGCTTTTGTGAAGGTGGTGGTGAATTGCCGCCTCGATGCTGTAGTCCTAGAGGTTGTAATGACACCCACAATGCTGTTAGGAAGGGACTTCCAGGATTTTGACTCAGCGATACTGAAGAAATGGTGATGTAGTTCGAAGCCAGGATAGTGAGTGGCTTGGAAGGAAACTTGAAGATGGTATTCCCATGTATCTGCTGTCTTCATCATTCTAGATGGAAGTGGTTATGGGTTTGAAAGATGCTGTTGAAGAGGCATTTATTCCAAAATAGAGGTCTGCACATTATTCTAGATTAAACTCCATCTGCCTATCCGACGTTTGTCTCTGTCTGTGTGTCTCTCTCTATACACACGCACACGCGCACACATCCAAGTCTAGTCTACTCCATTCCTCACGTCTATCACCTAACTTCGAGGAGTTGAGATAACAATAGTGATATCCAAGCCTCGATCATTTGAGTACCAATTCCACCCCACCACTCACCATACCTCCATCCTTAACTTTCTGCCTAAATGGTCACACTTTCTTTTTAATTTTATTTTTGGGAAATGGACATCACTGGCTAGGGCAGCATTTATTCCCATCCCTAATTGTTCTTGGGGAGGTGATGATGAGACACCTTGTCCTGCTATATATTTCACTTGTCTGTACATCCACACTGATGTTAGAGGGTGTTATCCAGGTTTTGGACCCACTGATATAATTCCAAGTTGAGATGATGTGTAGCTTGGAAGAGAACTTGGAAATGAAGGTGTTTTCTTATCCTTGTAGCTGATTTGAGGGTTGATGCTGAGGTAACCTTATTCAGTTGCTGCAGTGTGTATTTTCAGTGATTCATACTGTAGCCATGGTTATTATCTTTACGATGTATCTCTTGTACTTAATGCTTTTTGAAACTGCATCTCTCCAGAGAATCTGAGGATGGCCAAGTTACCTATTCAGTAAATATTTGTGCTGACTGATCTTAATAGCATGTTTCATCAAGTGTTCCTCTTGGATCAAACTCCAGCAGTTCTTGCACAGGAACATAGAAAATAGGAACAAGGTTAGGCCATTTGGTCCTTCGAGCTTGCAATGCCATTCATTATGATCATAGCTGATCATCCAACTCAATGGACTATTCCTGCTTTTCTCCCATATCTTTTGATCCTTTAGTCCTAAGTGCCATATCCAACTCCTCCTTGAAGTCATGCAATATTTTGGCCTCATCTGCTTTTTGTAGTAGTTAATTCCACAGGCTAACCACTTCCTCGATGAAGAAACTTCTCCTCATCTCAGTCCTAAATGATTTACCCTGCATCCTTCGACTGTGACCTTTGGTTCTGGACTCCTATCATCAGGAGTATCCTTCTTGTATTTGCCCAGTTTAGTCCTGTTAGAATTTTATGTTTCTAAGATTCTCTATCACTCTTCTGAACTTCAGTGAATATAATCCTCTCAACCTCACCTTTTTATGTAAGTTCCGCCATCCCAGGAATTTGTCTAGTAAGCCTTTGCAGCACTCTGTCTACAGCAAGAAAATCTTGCCTCTGATAAGGAGTTCAAAACTGTGCACAATATTCCAGGTGTGGTCTCACCAAGGCCCTGTACAATTGCATCAAAGACATCCCTGCTGCTGTACTCAAATCTGATTGCTATGAAGGTTAACCTGCCATTTGCATGTTGTACCTGCATGCTTACTTTCAGTGACTGGTGTACAAGGACACCCAGCACTTGTTGCACCATGTCTCCCAATCTGTTGCTGCCTTGTTTTGCTCCCAAAGTAGTTAAGTTCTCTATTTACTTCATCTGCCTTGCATTTGTCCACTCAATCAACTTGTCCAAATCACCCTTCCCATCCAAGTTTTAAGGCATCTGCAAACTTTGAGATATTACATTTAGTTTCCTCTCTCAATCCTTCGTATAAATTGAGAGTATCTGGAGTTCTAGCACTGATCCCTGTAGTATCTCACTAGTCACTGCCTGTCATTTGGATAAGACGTGTCTATTCATACTCTTCTTGTTTCCTATCTGCCAACCAGTTTTATATCCATTTCAGCAACAGAGAAACGTAACTAACCTTCAAGGGGAGTTCTATTTTCCATGCCCAATCCTTACATTTTAGCTTTCCAAATGGTTGGAGCCTTTTTTCCCCTCTGCCTCCCACAAGATGTTCCAACATCATTCAGGACATAACAAGTTCATCAAAAAGATGAACCTCTCAGTTTGTTATGTGAATATCCTCCAATGGCCATTGCACATTCAATTTTCAAAACTACATCCTCTGCAATTTGAAGTCTCATCAGTTTTTCCTAAAAAAAAGTCTTACACTTTTATTGTACCTCTTGCAACCATGGGATGTTCCTAAGTATTTTGTCCGGAATCAAGTACTTTTTAAAGGATAGTTACTGCTGTAGTATAGGAAACATGGCAGGCAATATGTGCACGGGAAACTCCCACTAATAACTCTTGGTAAAGACCAAATAATCCATTTGTGATGTTGAGGGATGAATATTGGCTCAAGATTGTAGAACCATCTGTCTCTGTGCCTGGATTTATGCTGAGTGGGTGGTTGAATGGATACATAGCTGTGCGTGCTACCAGCTAGTTATAGTCCAACAAAAAAAAGCAGTGAAAATGCAGGATTGAGTCCATTCAACTGCCTTGTTTTCATATCTTAACAGGAGATCGTACTGTGGAGGAAAGCTCCTGAGAAGTTGAGGAAACGGACTAATTTCCATCAACGTTTGGAATCACCAGAGCCACAGGCCTCCGCTCAGCAGCCTGAAATATGAGGGAAGAGTAAGCGAGGTGACAGTCTCTTTCAGAGTTGCCACAGACATGGTCGCTGTGCACAATCCCATGGTTTCTTTGTGATATTAAACTTTCTGCAGATCACTAACAGTTTCTCAAACACTGGAACTCTAAAGCTAGCTTTTTATACTGCACATTTTGCAATTTTTGTTCAAACTTGTGCACTAAAAATCTACACTGAGCAAGATGTTGGTGTGTTGGTTCTGTATGTATTTGTGCGTGGAGGTGGATTTATTTAAGCCTGGGAATTACATTTGTTGTACAGATGCTTAATTGGTTCGGAATAGATTCCACTTCCTCCATTTCAAGCATACAGGTTAATGCTTGTCGATGAGAAGGGTCATCAGGAATGTATGTTTATTGTTTGTATATTTCCAGCCGGTTACACGGTGAAATTTGGTGATGGCCCTGTTTACACTAATGTATAATTTTTGTTTTTGCTTTGTATAAATAAGTGGCACGTTCCAATTCCTAGCAGTGCTCCAAGCAGCAAAACAAGTTCTATAAACACTCTCTGTCTCTCTGCATTGAAGACACAGCAGTGGGTGAGTTAAACTATGCCCAGAGCCTAGTTTTTATCACCCTGCATCCCTTTCCCCTGACACTCTTTCAAACATGCTGGAACTTCCACCTCATTCACTGAGAAGTAGGCATTGTTCTGGGGCGTGTATTCTGACCTGTGTGGAAATGCAGTTACTGACGGTGCGGGTACAATGTAGGAGTAAAGTTTCCTGTCTCCCAACGTTTTCCTGTAAAGTGCCTGAACAGTTTAAAGCCAGTTAATGCCAAATATTTTCCTGCATGTCTGTGTCTGATATCAAAAGTAAATGGCAATATTTTAAGTACTGTTATTTCAGATGTATTATACCATCCTGGAAAATGTACCTCTGTATATTCAATAAAGTCTTTGCCAGTGTATCCAATTACACTTGAATTCAAATCTATTACATCTCTCGACAGTGTACCCAGTGACTGGTGGTACTGGCACAACCTGGAGTACCAATGCTTAATCTGTCAGCCTAGATGATTACTCCCAACAGGATATTTGATTATGCTGTTAAATCTTCTCTTAGTACTTGTGTAATTTCCAGCAGGAGTCACTAGGCGACAGACCCGTAGCAGGAGCCTGTGCCTGATTTTTCTCCTCCATTCAAACAAATTGACCAACATTGTGAAATATTGGAATGACCCCTTGTTCGACAAATCTGCCACAGACCCAGAATATTTCAATGACTGACAGTGACTGTTTACAGCTGGCGATGGTTTAACCTCAGGACATTCTTAGGGAGCCTTGCCTGAATTTTTGGCACTCCCTCAGCTTGTGGATGTTATATAGCATATGCTAAATGGGAAGGAGGTTGTTTGTGGAGATTTACTGGTTCCAAAATTGCAAGCCCTTTTAAAAGAAGGGAAATCTACTGCTTGTGGGATTGGGCTGGTGCCTGGACCAATTGTCAATTGTAAGGAACACCTTGTGATGAAAGAAATTGGAAGAGGAAATTCAAACCTGACTGAGAAAGAACTACCAAACAGGATGTACTCTCCCATTATATGCTTCCTGAATTCACAGAAAACATTTCCCAACTTAGGTTGATGTTTTATGCCCCTCTCTGACTCTGTGTAACAAGAGGCATGAGTGGTAAGTTGTGGTTCTTGGAAGTGAGGGGGATTTGATCTGGATTTTCTTGGCTTTGGATTTCTTTTTGGAGGGAGGGTGTTATGAAGTTGGGTAGAGTATTCATGAATTGGAAGGCAGAAAGTTGGAATTCATGGGGAAAAGAGTGCCATGATCCCTTTAAGAGCTTGTGCTTTGTCTGCGCTTGGAAGTTTATAAAAACAGGTGCACAGAGTGCCCAAATGGAAACATTTTACATAGAACAGTCAAGCAGCAATTTTTTCAAGACTACAAGTTTAAATTTGGCCGATTAATTTAAATGAAGCACCTAGATACAGAAAGCCAACTGAATTTAAATCTGATGGTGTTGACAACCTGAAACCAATCATAAGAATTTGATTGTCATTACGGGTATATAAGAAGAGGGCATTTGGAAAATCAGAGCCACCTGCCAGAGTTAGCACAATTCAGCACTGAGAAAGTCCATCTAATTAATCAAAGGTACCATGGTATTTTAGCTCAAAGTTCTCATTGAAGAAATTATAGAGGTAAAACATCCCTGACAGCAAAATTAGCAGAAGAAAGGCGTTTGTGAAAAGAGCAGTGACGACAGAATATTCCAGAAACAGTCTGTGTGAACTTGGAGAGATTAAGTTATAATTCATTGTTCTCTTATTAATTGGGTTTATTAAGTAGGACTTGTGTTTATTTGAACAGTATTGTAGTAGAATTTAAAACAGACTACTAACTACTTCCTAAGGAGGAATTGTCAGTTTGTTAGTAATTCTGTTAATTTGTTCATTGTTGGGTTAAATAAATAAATTTGTTTCTTGTTACTTGCAAAGTGGAGATCAGGGATTTTCTTTAGCCACTCAGTAGATTACGAGGGGAAAGGTGAGCTTCTCTGGGTGTTGCGGAGGTAATTATTAGAAGGGAACCTCTAATGCTGTCATAACAGATTGGGGCTTGTGTTTTAGTAATTATCAGAGGGTTTCAACCTTCTGCCACCCCTTCCACCCACCCACCCCTCTCTCCACCTCCCCCCACCCCTAACTTTTTTTTTTTTTTTTTTTCCCCCCCCCCCCCCCCCCATAACAGGTGGGAGAGTAACTGGATTCTGTTTCTGTTTTGGGAGTTGAGGTATTGATGTGTTGTGCTTTTTGCAGTTTTGGGGTGTTTAAGTTTTGGGGGATTTGGAGTTTTGAATATTCTGCAGCTTTTTGTGTTTTCTTGTGCATTTTTTAGGAGGGGCTTAGGTGTTTGAAATTCTATGGGAAAACCTGGTGCTCAGGGTTGTGGGATTTCTGAGTTGAGGGAATTTGGGACTTTTTGGGGGTCAGATCAGGAATTTGGGGCTGAGGAAGGGCTTGGAGATTTTTTTTGGGCTTGGATTTACGGAGATTATGAAGATTTTTTTTTTGTTTTGGTTTTTGTTATGGGCTGGCAGTGTGGGAGGGAAGGGACCTTTGGGTATTGTAGAGCTGTTAAAGTTTTTGGATGATGTGTGTTTAATAGTGTTTGTAAAGCTTGGAGTTTTTTTGATACTAATGGAATTGTTAAAGGGGAGAGGTACTGAGCATAGTATACTTGGATTTTCAGAAGGCTTTTAATAGAGTTGTTTAACAACATTAAAGTGCATGGAATCAGACATAATGTCTGGTTAACTGACAGATATAGTAGAAATAAACAGGTCATTCTTGTACTCGCAGACTGTGATGAGTAGAGTACCACAGTTTTAGTTATGACTCCAGCTGTTCACAGTGAATAACAAGGTATTGATACCTTTTTGGATTCTTCCTCTCCTCCCCTCCCCTTACCTCCAACTCCATCCCTCCAAATATGTCCCTTGCTGTGTATACACTCTTTGACCTTCTGCTCAATGCTGAACAATCTGTGCTCAGCAAAGGACTTAGTTTTATCCCTTTAGGACCACATTTCAATATATTTCAGGCACAACATAATGTTGAACTCCTCTTCTGTCACCTTTGCCTCTATGCCTAATTCTTTGGACAGGTGTCCACTCCCAACCGTACAGATCCTTTCACCTGTTTCCAATATTCCCCACTCCACCTGGACCCCTCCCTCTGGCCATTACCTCCACTTGATCACTTCTTCAACAACTGCAAATGAGACACCATTTGCCTTCATTTCTCCACTCTCCTCCCTCACTCTAACCTTTCTCTCTCATTTGCTGCATTCTGCTCCCTCAAGTCCAACCCTTACTTTATCAAACCTGTTCATAAGGTTGACTCTTGTTTTCTGGTGTACTTACCTCTAAGTGTAGCAGAGGCTGAGCGTGAACTCTCACACTTCCTCCTATCTCTCCCTGGATCATGATCCCACCACTGAACATCAGCCAGGACTGTCACTGATCTTATCTCCTATGGAGATCTCCCCTCCTCAGCATCCCACCCCATAGTCCCTTAACCCTACACAGCCTGCTTCTACCTCTTTCCCAAAATCCACTAACAGGACTGCTCCGGCAGACCCACTGTTTCAGCTTGTTCCTGCCCCACTGAACTTATTTCTTCCCATCTTAACTCCCCACCCTCCCGTTCAATTGTTCCCCTAATATTTGTGAATCATCTGATGCTTGACATCGGTTCCAGAATTTCTCATTTTCTGTTTGTAGCTGCCTCTTTACCATGGTTATACAGGCCCTCCGTCCATCCATTCTCTTATCCTGATAGTTGACAGCTTTCCACGTCTTCCTTGAAAATAGGCCTGCACTATACTCGTCCACCATCATCCTCCTTTGCCTGGCTGAGCACATCACCACTTTGAACTTCTCGTTTAATTCATCTCACTTTCTCCAAATAAAGGTTGTGGCCAGTGATAAACCACATGGGCCCCAGCTATGCCTTTCTCTTTAAGTGGTATGTGGAACATGCCTTGTTCCGTTCCCACTTAGAGCTCCACAACACCTTTTTGACATAGGGATATCGTCATTGTTGCTGTTTCCTGCTTCCAATTTCTATCCTCTCACTTCCACCTGGTCCATCTATGACTCTTCCCTCCCCTTCTTTTTCTGTTTCCATTTCTGGGGATGGACTATTAATATCCATTATGATCTCCTGACACCCACTGCTAACTAACTACACCACCTGTCCCCTGTTTCCTGCAAATATTCCATTCTAGTCTCTGTTTTTCCATCTACGTCACATCTGTTCTGATGCTGCCTTTCACTGGGGTGCCTCTTCAACTGAGGATTCCACACCGCTCTCCACCCCACCCCCCCCGCCCAAACGTGGTTAATGGAGTTCAGTTATGTCCAACCCATCTCCTACAGTTCTGCCTTTGCCCCTTTCACCTCTCTCTCCCAGAATAACAATGAGGTTTCCTTTGTCCTCTCTTTCCATTCCTCTAGTCTCTGCATTCAAAGGATCATCCTCCACCATTTCCACCAGGATGCCCCCACCAAGCACATTTTCCCCTCCCTTCTTCTAGCAGCATTTTATAGGCACTGTTCCCTCTGTGATACAGCGGTCTACTCCATCATTCTTTGTCCCTTCATGGCACCTTCCCTTGCAATCATGGAAGGTGTAACACTTACCTTTTCACCACCTCACTGTCCAAGGTCCAAGCACACCTCCCAGGTGAAGCAGTATTTTCTGAATTTTACTTGAATTTTCTTTCATTCTAGTCTACTGTATTCACTGCTCACAACACAGTCTCCTTTACATTGGTGAAACCAAACGCAGTTAGGTGATCACTATACTCCATTCTGTCGATGAGAATGACGCCAATCTTCCAATTGCTTGGCATTTCAATGAACCAACTTCCTCCCATGCTACATTTCTGTCCTAGGCCAGATGCAGTGAAGCAAAGAAGCTCCGTGCAAGCTGGAGGAACAACACCTCACTTTCTGCTTAAGCACTTTGCAGCCTCTAAGACGCTATATTGATTTCCAAACTTCAAAGTGTGATCTCCATCCTCCATTTTTAATACATAACTCCTGCCCAGTTGTGTCTTATTGACTCTGTTCTCAGCAGAATGGACTCATTTCCACACCTTCATTTACACCCATATCAAGTTTCTAACTCTTCTGTACCACCATTTGTTTGTTCATTTGTTTTTTTTTGCTCTGGGCACCATCAATCTGTTCCACTTGCTGATCCTACCCCTCTGTCAACAAAAAAAAAACACCATTTGCCAGTTGCTTTCACTTCTAAGGAAGAGTCATATCAGACTTAAAACATTAACTCTGTTTCTCTATAGATACTGCCAGACCTAACTGAGTTTCTCCAGCATTTGTTTTGATTTCAGATTTGCAGCACCTGCAGTATTTTGCTTTTATGATTTCAATGATTTGGCGGTAGGGGCCAAAACTGATAGTTACAAATTTGCAAATGGTGTAAAACTAAGTGGGAACGTGTTGTGAGAAAGATGTAAAGTTGATTTTCGGAGGATTTGGATAGGCTTAGTGAATTGGCAGGAATGAGGTGGATGAAACAATATGGAAAAATGTAAGGATATCCACTCAGACTCCAGAATGGCAGTTCCTACTATCTCTAAGGTTATCTGCTCTTGTTTAGTGAATCAAAGTGCAAAGTATTTCTAATGGTAAGAGATTGGAATGTACAAAGGGACCCAAGTGTCCTTGTAGACAAGTCACTGTAGGCTAATATGCAGTGCAATGAACTATTAGGAGACCAATAGTGAAGCCTTTCTTTAACTGTGTAGGAACTTGGTTAGATCGTACCCAGAGTATTATATGCTCGTTTTGGTCTCCTTAACTCAAGAAGGATATTATAGAGGGGAGGGCAGCAAAGGTTACGCAGACTTGTTTCTGAGATAGTGGAACTGACCTATGCAGTCTTTAAGAGATTGACTGGATAGATGCAAGTTAGATGTTTCCTCTGGTTGGGGGTCCAATTTAAAAGCAGAGATGCCAATTAGGACTGAGTTGAGATGCAATTCTTTTACTCAGAGGGTTGTGAACCTTTAAAATTCTCCATAGCCCTCTGAGGCAGAAGTTTTTTGAGTATGTTTGAGGGAGAGATTGACAGATTTCTGACTGTCATCCTGACTGCCAATTGCAATGGTGCTATGGGGTATTCAAGGGTCTGCTCAGACACGATTGTACTGAATTATTTACTACTGTCCCTGTGTACTTATTGGGATTTTTGATTGTATGTGTTTATTGGGATTTATCTTGTGGCTAATTTTGTTTCTTTATTGGGTTTTTTTGGGGGGTGGTGGTTTCTGTATTGGGATTTCTCTTGCAGGTGGTTTGTGTATTTATTGGGGTTTGTGTATTTATTGGGGTTTGTTTTGGGAGTGGGTTGTGTTTTGTGAGTTTTCCTTAGGGGTTTATTTTGGGGGCTGTTTGTGTATTGGAGTTTATTCTGGAAATGGTTTACATCTTTATGGAGATTTATTCAGGATGTTTATGTATTTATTAGGGTTTATTTTTGGGCGGGTATTTGGTATGGTTGAGGGATCTGGCCGTCTCCATAGTGACCAACGGCCTTCGGGTCCTGCGAGGTTTAGCTGCCCGCGCAGTGCCTGGTCTCGCGGAGCCGCTCTGTCTCCGCCCCAGGGCCGGCTCTGTGCTCATCATGTGGCTGAATCGCAGCTTCAGGCTCCTGGGCCTGGTCCCGGGCCCACTCCGAGCCGCCGGTCGCCGCATGGTCCGCGGGAGCGGCTCGAAAGGCCCCGACACCTCCCTGTTTGTGCCGCTATCGCCCAGAGTGAGCCCTGGGCCCGAGGGAAACGTTGGAGCAGAACTGAGTCGGGACCTGGACAAGGGTGAGATGGGGGTGGGTGGGCGGCGTCGGGCGTGTAGGGGCGGGAGAGAAAGGTGGGGGGGGGGGAATCGGGCGCGTAGGGGCGGGAGAAAGGTGTAGGAGGGAGGAGGCAGGGAAGAAAGGTGTAGAGGGACTCAATGGCACCACCCCCACTCCAGCCTGGAAGGTCAAATCCCTCTCTTCCGCACCCCCCACAAATCTTCTCTCTCTCTTCCCCCCCCTCTCCCCCCGCCCCAAAAAAATGTCCAGTTTGTTAAAGAATGGCCATGTGGTCTCTCTCCTCACCACAGATTGCAAAATCTTCAGCAGCATGCTTCAGACATATGGTGGGCCTCTACCTGGACCAGTCCTACACCATTCTGGGCCGGCACATTCACAACAGCATGCCCCTGTTCTGGGACTTAGACAGTTGGCCTGTCGAGTGCCATTTTCTCCCTCGATTAGGTGAAGGCATTTGACAAGGTGGTTCACAAGTATCTGCTCAGGATTCTGTGAGTTTTCGGGTTTGGGTTGCACCTCGTTGCCTGGATCCAAATTCTGTAAATTGCCACAGAGCGTCTACTGAAGGTTAACAGGTCCCTGACGGCGCTGCTGTGCTTTGGGAGAGGAGTGAATCAAGGCTGCACCCAGTCTGGCCCTTTGTATTCTGTGTGTGGAGCTGTTCCTGTGTCTGTTGCAGAAACAACTGTCGGGTCTGACTCTGTGTAGGCCGGATGAGCTCCAGTGCTTCACATGGAGTACCTAGGGGCTGCTTTTTCTAACACTGTTGAGGAGGGTTTAAACTAATGTGGCAAGGGAATGGGAACCAAATGAGGAGGTTAGTGGACAGTAAGGAGGTAGTAACTAAAGCCTGTAAGGAACTAGATAATGAAGTCAGTGTGACTAAGGGGAAGAGTAGGCAGAGAGCAGATGATGAATGCAAAGGGACAGGTGGTCTGAGGCACATTAGTTTTAATGCAAGAAGTGTAGTAGGTAAGGCAGGTGAACTTAGGGCTTGGATTAGTACCTGGGACTATGATGATATTGCTTGAGGGAAGGGCAAGATTGGCAACTAAATATCCCACGATATAGATGCTTCAGGCAGGATAGAGAGGGAGGTAAAAAGGGTGGAGGAGTTACATTACTGGCCAAAGAGGATATCATAGCTGTGCTGAAGGAGGGCACTATGGAGGACTCGAGCAGTGAGGCAATATGGGCTGAGCTCAGAAATGGGAAGGGTGCGGTAATAATGTTGGGGCTGTACTACAGGCCTCCCAACAGCGAGCGTGAGATAGAGGTACAAATATGTAGACAGATTATGGAAAGATGTAGGAGCAACAGGGTAGTGGTGATGGGAGATTTTAATTTTCCCAACATTGACTGGGGTTCACTTAGTGTTACGGGTTTAGATGGAGCAGAATTTGTAAGGAGTGGCTAGTAGGGTTTTATGGAGCAGTATGTAAATAGTCTAACTCAGGGAGGAGCCATACTGGACCTGGTGTTGGGGAATGAGCCCAGCCAGGTGGTTGAAGTTTCAGTAGGGGATTACTTTGGGAATAGTGATCACAATTCTGTAAGTTTGAGAATACTGATGGACAAAGACGAGAGTGGTCCTAAAGGAAGAGTGCTGAATTGGGGGAAGGCCAACTATAGCAAAATTCGGCAGGAGCTGGGGAATGTGGATTGGGCGCAGCTGTTTGAGGGTAAATCCACATTTGATATGCGGGAGCCTTTTAAAGAGAAGTTGTTGTTTAGAGTGCAGGACAGGCTTGTCCCTGTGAAAATGAAGGATAGACAGGGCAAGATTAGGGAACCATGGATGACAGGTGAAATTGTGAGACTAGCAAAGAGGAAAAAGGAAGCATACATAAGGTCTAGGCGACTGAAAACAGACGAAGCTTTGGAAGAATATTGGGAAAGTAGGACCAATCTGAAATGAGGAATTAAGAGGGCTAAAAGGGGTCATGAAATATCTTTCGCAAACAGGGTTAAGGAAAATCCCAAAGCCTTTTATTCGTACATAAGGAGCAAGAGGGTAACTAGAGAAAGGGTTGGCCCACCTGAGGACAAAGGAGGGAAGTTATGCGAGGAGTCAGAGTAAATGAGTGAGATTCTTAATGAGTACTTTGCGTCGGTATTCACTGAGGAGAGGGACATGACGGATGTTGAGGTTAGGGATAGATGTTTGATTACTCCAGGTCAAGTCAGCATAAGGAGGGGGAAGTGTTGGGTATTCTAAAAGGCATTAGGGTGGACAAGTCCCCAGGTCTGGATGGGATCTATCCCAGGATACTGAGGGAAGCGAGAGAGGAAATAGCTGGGGCCTTAACAGATATCTTTGCAGCATCCTTGAGCATGGGTGAGGTCCTGGAGGACTGAAGAATTGCTAATGTTGTCCCCTTGTTTAAGAAGGGTAGCAAGTATAACCCAGGTAATTATAGACAGGTGAGCCTGACGTCAGTGGCGGGGAAGCTGCTGGAGAAGAGACTGAGGGATAGGATCTATTTATATTTGGAAGAAAATGGGCTTATTAGTGATAGGCAGCATGGTTTTGTGCAGGGAAGGTCATGTCTTACCAACTTGATGGAATTCTTTGAGGAAGTGACAAAGTTGATAGATGAGGGAAGGGCTGTAGATGTCATATACATGGACTTCAGTAAGGCATTTGATAAGTTTCCCCATGGTAAGCTGATGGAGAAAGTTATGTTGCATGGGGTCCAGGGTGTACTAGCTAGATGGATAGAGAACTGGTTTGGCAACAGGAGACAGAGTTGTAGTGAAAGGGAGTTTCTCAAAATGGAGAACTATGACCAGTGGTGTTCCACAGGGATCCATGTTGGGACCACTGTTGTTTGTGATATACATAAATGATCTGGAGGAAGGTATAGATGGTCTGATTAGCACGTTCGCAGATGACACTAAGATTGGTGGAGTAGCAGATAGTGAAGGGGACTGTTGGAGAATGCAGCAGAATATAGATAGATTGGAGAGTTGGGCGGAGAAATGGCAGATGGAGTTCAATCCAGGCAAATGCAAGATGATGCATTTTGGAAGATCCAATTCAAGAGCGAACTATACGGTAAATGGAAAAGCCCTGGGAAAAATTGATGCACAGAGAGATCTGGGTGTTCAGGTCCATTGTACCCTGAAGGTGGCAACACAGGTGGATAGAGTGGTCAAGAAGGCATACGGCATGCTTTCATTCATCGGACGGGGTATTGAGTACAAGAGTTGGCAGGTCATGTTACAGTTGTATAGGACCTTGGTTCGACCACATTTGGAATACTGCGTACAGTTCTGGTCGCCACATTACCAAAAGGATGTGGATGCTTTGGAGAGGGTGCAGAAGAGGTTCACCAGGATGTTGACTGGTATGGAGGGCGCTAGCTATGAAGAGAGGTTGAGTAGATTAGGATTATTTACATTAGAAAGACGGAGGTTGAGGGGGGACCTGATTGAGGTCTACAAAATCATGAGAGGTATAGATAGGGTGGAAAACAAGCTTTTTCCCAGAGTAGGGGACTCCATTACTAGGGGTCACGATTTCAAAGTGAGAGGGGGAAAAGTTTAAGGGAGATACGCGTGGAAAGTTCTTTACGCAGAGGGTGGTGCGTGCCTGGAACGAGTTGCCGGCGCAGGTGGTAGAGGCGGGCACGATAGCGTTGTTTAAGATGTATCTAGACAGATACATGAATGGGCAGGGAGCAGAGGGATACAGATCCTTGGAAAATAGGCGACAGGTTTAGAGCATCTGGATCGGCACAGGCTTGGAGGGCTGAAGGGCCTGTTCCTGTGCTGTAATTTTCTTTGTTCTTTTTATGTGAAATAGGCTGCCAGAGAAAGTGGTTGAGGCAGCTACAATAGCAACATTTAAAAAATATTTGGATAGGTACATCGATGAGAAGGGTTTAGAGAGATATGGACCAAATGCGAGCAACTGGAACTAGCTGAGTGGGCATCATGGTCAGCATGGACCAATTTGGGCTGAGGGGCCTGTTTCCATGTTGTATTACTCCACGAGTATCTAAAGCTTCCTTTTATTTTTTAAAGCAGGAACTCAAAAATAACAATGAAATAACAATGAAATAACAATGAAAAAACAATGAACTGTATCCAAATAAAACAAACTAACAGTCAAACAGAACCTTCTCTGATGAAACAGAAAATGACTAAATTGAAAAACATTGTCTGGAGTGATGATGCATTTTAGACCTATGGTGCCCATCAGTCTTGAAAGACCTTGACCATGTGCATGCCACATGCTCTCTGTCCTGGGGCGCCCAAGCAGGTGAAAGAGGGGCAGACAGTCAGAAACCACGAGCCCCTCCAAAGACCATTGCCTGGAAGTGTTAATGGCTATCTTGGCCAGGCCCAGGAGCAGACTTGTCTGCCCCTCTCTGCGCTGCATGCCTGTGGATCAGGAGGGTGGGGCTGAAGTGCAATCAAAAATCAAAGAATCATCCTCTTCAAAAGGCTAAAGAGGGGCTGCAAATGGAAACAAAGTATCTATGAAATACCATTTCCTCGAGGCCACAAAAACTTCCTTTGCCTGACACCCAATGAATTTACTCAAATCTACAATTGCCACATGCAGCTCTCCACTCAAATCCCAGAAGGAATAGGGGTGGCCCCCTTTGTAGAGGGCCCTACACATGGGATTTCCGCTGCTCAAGGACAAAACGTCACTCAGAGGCATGTCTGAGAGTCCAGCAAATGTGAAGCAGTGGAGAGTATGTAGCATTAGCACTTACAGATAATGATTCTGTGCCATTTGAAAGGGCACAGGGACGATTTTCCCAAGATGGCTCAGATTCTAGGGCAACGTGTCACGGTGGGATAGGGTGGGAGCAAGTGGTCCATTGCACTGAGCAAACGCTGAGTTCCTGATAGACAGGGATCAGTTCGATCAGACACCCACCATGTGTCTGAGCCACCTCGATCTGGTGTGAGGCTACTGTACAAGTCCTACCTTGGTATGGCTTTCCAAAATGCAGCACCTCACTCTTGTCTGTATTGAATTACATTTGCCAATCCTCAGTGCAGTTCCCCATCAGATCATGATCGCTGTGTAATTTTCAGTAACCACCTTCACTATCAACGATACATCTCAATTTTGTATCGTCTGCAAACTTACTAATCATGCCTTGCATGATCCAGTTCATTAATGTAAATAACAAATAACAAAGGTCCCAGCACCGATCCCTGTGGCACACCAATAGTCACAGGCCTCCAGTCCGAGAAACAACCTTCAACCATCACTCTCTGTTTCCTACCATCAAGCCAATTTCGAATCCAATTAGCTAGCCTTCCCTGGATCCCATGCACCCTAATCTTCATGACTAGCCTGCCCTACAGAAGCCCATATAGGCAACTTCCACTGCCCTACACTCATCTATCTTCTTGGTTAGCTCTTCAAAAAATTCTTTTTTAAAAAAAAAATTGTCGGACATGACTTCTCGTGCATAAATCCATGCTGACTATGCCTAATCAGACCTTGACGATCCAAATGTTCGTTGATCCTGTCCCTCTGTATCCTCTCCCAGCAACTTGACTACCATTGATGTCAGGCTCACTGGCCTGTAGTTCCTTGGCCTGTCTTTGCTACCTTTCTTAAACAATGGAACAATGTTAGCCACCTTCCAGTCTTCCGGAGCTTCACTAGTGGCTAAAGGTGAAGCAAAAATCTCTGCAAGGGCCTCTGCAATTTCTTCCCTAGCAACCCACAACGTCTGAGGAGGGACTTGATCAGGCCCAGGGGATTTATCCACCTTAATGCACTTTAAGGCTGCAAACACCTTCTCTCTGGTAACGTGTATGCGGTCTAAAACATCCCTACTTGTTTCCCTTATTTCCTTAGCATCTATGATTCTCTCCTCAGTAAACATTGAGAAGAAATATTCAGTAAAAATCTCCCCCATCTCTTGTGGCTCCACGTCCAGACAGCCATGCTGATCTTCAAGGGGACCTATTCTCTCCCGAGCCAACCTTTTACTCGTAATAGAGCTATAAAACTCATGGGATTATCTTTAACCTTATTTGCCAGATCCATCTCATACCCTCTTTTTGCTCTTCTGATTTCCCTCTGAAGTGTGCTTCTACACTTTTTATAGTCATCTAGGGATTCACATGCGCCCAATAGCTTAAACCCAGTGTATGCCACCTTTTTTCTGACCAGAGCCTCATTATCCCTCGTCAGCCAGGGATCCCTAAACCTTCCAGCTTTTCCTTTCACCCTAACAGGGACATACTGTCCCTGGATTCTTAATATCACACTTTCAAAAGCCTCCCATTTGCCAGTCATTCCTTTTCCTTCAAACGAACTCACCCAATCGACCTCTGCTGGATCCTGCCTGATGGCCCCAAAACTGACCCTCCTCCAGTTTAGCACCTTAAACTGTGGATCTGTCTTATATTTTTCCATAACTATGTTAAAACTATGAGAGTTATGGTCACTGGACCCAAAGTGGTCTCCGAATGTCACTTCAGTCACTTGCATGACCTTGTTTCCTAAGAGAAGGTCCAGCATTGCACCTTCCTGAGTAGGGCCCTCTGTATTTTGGTTTTGGAAACTTTCTTGGACACGTTTGACAAATTGCACCCCATCCAGGCATTGTACACTCTGGGTGGCCCAGTCAATATAGGGGAGATTAAAATCTCCAACCAGTGCTACTCTATTATTCTTACTGGTATCTGCAATCTCTCTACACACCTGCTGTAGTACCCACTGGCTGTTTGGGGGTCTATAATGCAGTCTGAACAGAATGACCATCCTCTTCTTGTTTCTAAGTTCTAACCATATGGCCTCATTTGATGACCCCTTAACAACTGTGCTGTAAGAGGATATTCTTATGTCACCCTTATCAAAAGGGCAACTCTTTCTGTCATGCCTGTAGTTTCTGTATGCTGGAACATTGAGCTGCCAGTCCTGCCCTCCTCTCAGCCATGTTTCTGTTGTGGCTATAATATCCCAGTCCCCAAGAGCCAATCCACGCTCTGAGCTCATCTGCCTTACCAGTCAGGCCTTGTGCTTTGAAATATATGCACCTTAAACCAGAAGTATTTTCACTCCCTTTACTGTGCCCTTGGCTATCCTGAATAGTAGACTTGCTCTTGATGGCTAAATGTATTTCCTCCTGACTTCTCGACCCCTCTCCTATTCAAGAGTCTCCACCTCCCCCGCCTTCCCCCCTGCCAAATTAGTTTAAACTCTCCCAGGTGACACTGGCAAATCTCCCCACGAGGATATTGGACCCCCTCCGGTTCAAATGCAACCCGTCTGTCTTGTACAGGTCACTTTTACCCCAGAAGAATCTCAATGATTCAAGAATTGAAAACTCTGCCCCCTACACCAGCTCCTCAGCCACACATTCATCTGGCCTATCTTTCTATTTCTATCCTCACTGACACGTGGCACTGGGAGTAATCTGGAGATCACTACCCTCGAGGTCCTGCTTTTTAACTTCTTATGTAACTCCCTATACTCATTACGCAGGACCCCATCCCTTTGTGCACATCGGTCCAAATGACATAAGTAGACAGTGACCTCGAGCTGTTCTCCCTCCCCTTTGAGACTGTTTTGCAACTGCTCAGAGACATCCTTGACCCATGGCACCCGGGAGATAACACACCATCCTGGTGTCTCTTCTGCAGCCACAGAATCTCCTGTCTGTTCCCCATCAGTATTGCTCTGTTGGACTGCACCCACTCCCTCTGCACCTCGGAACCAGTCACAGTGCTACTGACCCTACTGCTGCTGCTAGCCCCTGAAAGGTCATCACTCTCCAACAATATCCAAAGCGGTATTCCTGTTAGTGCAGGGTTCTTTGTGGCCATTCCATCAGTATCTGTTCCCCCACCCCTGCTGCCCTTATCTCTTATGGTGGTCACCCAGCTATGTGCTGCCTGCACCTTAAGAATGACCACTTCACAGTACCTCATCAATGATGTTCTCTGCACCCCAAATGATCCTGAGTGTATCCAGCTCCAGCTCCCATTCCCTAACGCAGTCTGCCAGGAGATGCAACCTAACTGCCTTCAGTCCAGACAGAAAGAAAGTAGAGTTAAAGAGCCCTTATGTGCTCTTACCTGTACCCCTGCTCAGCCTCATGCCAAAAACTCTCGAGCAAAGGCATCAGCGCTTCCAATGTAACACTGGCCCACTCTCTTAATGGCTGCTCCCTTGTACACCTTTACCTTGCCAGTCATCATCTTCACAGAACACCTTTTTTTTTGTATCTAACCCCATGCTGTTCAATTCTGGGAGTATTTGATGCAGACAGTGGTAAGCAAGCTTTATTTTCAGTTTAAAAGAGTAGAGGGGCAAGAAAGCGGTGGGGGGTGGGTGGGTGTGTGCATATGGAGGGAGCAGGGGAGTGGTTGCAGAGCATGGGGTGAGGGAGCCAGGAGGGTAGGCGCGGAGGGCAAGAGATCTGTGGAGGGTAGGCAGTACAAGGTGTTTGGGATGGAGGAGGAACAGAAGACAGTTGGAAAGAAACACAGGTTTGTCCCTTGTTTGTTGGTATCTGATTTGTATTGTTGGTAGGTGAAGCGCTGAAAGTGTTGAATAAATTCTACAAACGGAAAGAGATGCAGAGACTGGGCAGTGAGAATGGCCTTGATGGTAAGTAACAAAATCTGTGCAGACCCTTTTTTAGAATTTTTTGTAGAATCCCTACAGTGTGGAAACAGGCCCTTCGGCCCAAAAAGTCCACACCGACCATTGGAGCATCCCACCCAGACCCATCCCCTTATAACCCACCTAAGCTACACATTCCTGAACACTGTGGACAATTTAGCTTGGCCAATCCACCTAGCCTGCACGTCTTTGGACTGTGGGAGGAAACCCATGCAGACACAGGGAGGATGTGCAAACTCCACAAGGACGGTCACCCGAGGGTGGAATTGAACCTGGGTCCCTGGCGCTGTGAGGCAGCAGTGCTAACCACTGAGCCACTGTGCCTTTCTGGCAGTAACTAATTACATCATTCAGACTCAAACACGGGTGGCAGTGGTCAGTTCTTTCTGTGTCTGTATTTACAGGGAGCTAGTCGGGGCGCTGGTCATTTGCTTCAGTCTGCTCACCTGGGGCGCTGGTCAGTTCTCCGCGGTCTGTTCTCTGTCTGCTGTTAGTTCTTGCGATGTCCGTATTGACAGGGCAGTGGTCTGTTCTCTTTCTGTCTGTTACCTCTGCAGGCTGATATCACGCATCCTGCTCATAGAGCACTCTTTTGAGGAAGATCTGTATTTGTAATCCCAGATGGTGAACCTCTGGCTCTGTTTCCTATCCAGACTAATTTACTATAGTGTGAGAGAGTAGGAAAATAGATGTCTTTGTGGCAGATACATAGGTCTGCTTTTCTGTTGAGACCTGTGCAGGGCAGTCAGGATGTTATCTGTTGGGCACAGTGTAACTGCAGCTGAGGCGAAGGGAGTGAGTGCATTAGAGAGGGAAACTATCACATCATTAGTCTTTCTATTGAACGCAGGCTTTTCTCAAATTTTCTCCAAACATTTGTATTCTGCACAGCTCGGTTATTCCACCAGGCTTTCATTAGTTTTCGAAAGTATGTGATGGAAGCTGAATCTCTGAGTGTGGATTTACACATCATCCTGAATGATATCTGCTGTGGTGCAGGTAAGAACTGTACTAACCCTTTTGTCAATACATAATGCCCCAGAGCAAGTGATTGTTCATACTCTACTGAAAAAAGAGAACATAGAACATTACAGCGCAGTACAGGTCCTTTGGCCCTCGATGTTGCGCCGACCTGTGAAACCAATCTGAAGCCCATCTAACCTACAGTATTCCATTATCATCCATATGGTTATCCAATGACCATTTAAATGCCCTTAAAGTTGGCGAGTCTACTACTGTTGCAGGCAGGGCATTCCATGCCCTTACTACTCTCTGAGTAAAGAACCTACCTCTGACATCTGTCCTATATCTATCACCCCTCAATTTAAAGCTATGTCCCCTCGTGCTAGCCATCACCATCCAAGGAAAAAGGCTCTCACTGTCCACGCTATCTAATCCTCTGATCATCTTGTATGTCTTAAGTCACCTCTTAACCTTCTCTCTAACGAAAACAGCCTCAAGTCCCTCAGCCTTTCCTCATAAGACCTTCCCTCCATACCAGGCAACATCCTGGTAAATCTCCTCTGCACCCTTTCCAATGCTTCCACATCCTTCCTATAATGCGGTGACCAGAACTGTACGCAATACTCCAAGTGCGGCCGCACCAGAGTTTTGTACAGCTGCAACATGACCTCATGGCTCCGAAACTCAATCCCTCTACCAATAAAACCTAACATACTGTACGCCTTCTTAACAACGCTATCAACCTGGGTGGCAACTTTCAGTGATCTATGCACATGGACACCGAGATCTCTCTGCTCATCCACACTACCAAGAATCTTACCATTAGCCCAGTACTCTGTATTCCTGTTACTCCTTCCAAAGTGAATCACCTCACACTTTTCCGCATTAAACTCCATTTGCCACCTCTCAGCCCAGCTCTGCAGCTTATCTATGTCCCGCTGTAACCCGCAACATCCTTCCGCACTATCCACAGCTCCACCGACTTTGGTGTCATCCGCAAATTTACTAACGCATCCTTCTACGCCCTCATCCAGGTCATTTATAAAAATGACAAACAGCAGTGGCCCCAAAACAGATCCTTGCGGTACTCCACTAGTAACTGAACTCCAGGATGAACATTTCCCATCAACCACCACCCTCTGTCTTCTTACAGTTAGCCAATTTCTGATCCAAACCGCTAAATCACCCTCAATCCCATGCCTCCGTATTTTCTGCAATAGCCTTATCAAACGCTTTACTGAAATCCATATACACCACATTAACTGCTTTACCCTTGTCCACCTGTTTGGTCACCTTCTCAAAGAACTCAATAAGGTTTGTGAGGCACGACCTACCCTTCACAAAACCGTGTTGACTATCCCTAATCAAATTATTCCTTTCTAGATGATTATAAATCCCATCTCTTATAATCCTTTCCAACACTTTACCCACAACCGAAGTAAGGCTCACTGGTCTATAATTACCAGGGTTGTCTCTACTCCCCTTCTTGAACAAAGGGACAACATTTGCTATCCTCCAGTCTTCTGGCACTACTCCTGTAGACAATGACGATATAAAGATCAAAGCCAAAGGCTCTGCAATCTCCTCCCTAGCTTCCCAGAGAATCCTAGGAATCCGGCCCAGGGGACTTATCTATTTTCACACTTTCCAGAATTGCTAACACCTCCTCCTTATGAACATCAATCCCGTCTAGTCTAATAGCCTGTATCTCAGTATTCTCCTCGACAACATTGTGTTTTTCCTGTGTGAATACTGACGAAAAATATTCATTTAGCGCCTCTCCTATCTCTTCGGACTCCACGCACAACTTCCCACGACTGTCCTTGACTGGCCCTAATCTTACTCTAAGCTTGCCTAAGCTTTTTATAAAGCATAGAATTTTGAACTGTACAGCACAGGAATGGGCCCTTTGGCTCACAATGTTGTGCCGAACATGATGCCAAATGAAACTAATCCCATGTCCACCTTTGGTCCACATCCTTCCATTCCTTGCGTATTCGTGTACTTATCTAAAAGCCCCTTAAATGCCCTTATCATGTCTGCCTCCGCCACCACCCTTGGCAGTGCATTCCAGACTCCCACCACTCTGTGTAAAAAAAAAAAAAAACCTGCCTCTCACGTCTCCTAAGAACTTGCCCCCTCTCGTCTTAAATGCATGCTCCCTAGTATTAGCCATTTCAACTCTGGGAAAAAGATTCTCACTGTCAACTCTATCTATGTATCTCATGATTTATAAACGTTTATCAAGTCTCCCCTCAACCTCCGCCACTCGAGAAAACAACTTGAGTTTTTCAAGCCTTTCCTTATAGCTCATACCCTCTATTCCGTGCAGCATTCTGGTAAAGTTCTTCTGCACCCTCTCCAAAGACTCCACATCCTTCCTGTAAAGTACCGAACAGAATTGGATGCATAAGTGAGGCCTAGCCAAAGTCTTATAAAGCTGTAACATGACATCCTGATTCTTGTACTGAATTCCCCGACCAATAAAGGCAAGCATGCCATAACCTTCTGTACCACCCTACCTACTTACGTGGCCACTTTCAGGAATCTATGGACTTGAACCTCAAGATCCTTCTGTGCATCACTGCTGTTCAGAATGCTGCCATTAACCATATACTTTTCCTTAACATTTGATCTGCCAAAGTGTAGCACCTCACACTTACCTAGATTAAACTTCTTCTGCCATTTCTCCGCCCATATCTGTAACTGATCTATATCCCACTGTATCCTTTGACAAACTTCTACACTATCCACAACTCCACCAATCTTTGTGTTGTCTGCAAACTCACTAACCCATTTTCATCCAAGTCATTTATATATATCACAAAGGACAGAGGTCCCATTATGGATCCCTGCAGAACACCACTAGTCCCAGACCTCCAGCCTGAGAAACATCCTTCCACCACTACCCTGTGCCTTCTATTGTCAAGCCAATTCTGAATCCATGTGGATTATGTTACAACGTAAGGATAGAAGGATAGAAAGAGAGGCAAATGAGGAGGGGGAATTAAGGAAAACATTACTGCTGTAACTAGAGAAGATATTTCTGAAAAATCATCCAGTGAAAATATATGAGTTGAAATTAGAAATAAAAAATGGAATGATCAACTTGATAGGATTGTACTGTAGCATCCCCACCCCCAATAGTCAGAGGGAAATTTAGGAACAAATATGTAGAGACATTTCAGATATATGTAGAATAATAAGATTGTATTTGTAGATGATTTTAATTTTTGAAACATTAATTGGGATGTGTTAAAGGTTTGGTTGATCCAGAATTTGTTAAATGTGTTCAATAAAACTTTCATTATCAATATGTAAATGTTCCTGCCAGAGAAGGAGCAACACATGACCTTCTCATTGGTAATGAGGCAGAGCAACTGACTGAAGTGATAGTACGGGAACACTGGGTCAAGTGATCATAATTCTATTTGTTTTAAAATAGTTGTGGGAAACGTAAGCATTTCATAAAAGTTGAAGTTTTTAATTGGAGTAAGGCAAATTTTAACGTTAGGAGACAAAAATGTTCAAAAATTTATTGGAGTAGAATGTTCTAAGGTAAAAGGATGTCTGATAAGTGGGAGGCTTTCAAAAGTATGGTAACAGAAGTTCAGAGTCATTATGTTCCAATTAGAGTGAAAGGTAAGGCTTGTAAGATTAGAGAACAATGGATGAATAAAGATATTGAGGTTCTAATCAAGAATTTTAAAAATATTGTATATTAGATGTAGACAACTAGATTCAAATGAAGCTCTTGAACAGTATAAAGAGTGTAGGAACATTCTCAAGAGGGACATCAGGAAGGTAAAGAGAGGATATGAGATAGCCTTGGCAAATAAGGTTATGGATTATCCACAGAGATTCTACAAGTATATTAGGAACAAGAGAGCGACTAGAGAGAGAGTAGGTCCTCAAAAATCAAAGAGGTCATCTTTGTGCTGAACCTCAGGAGATGGGAGAGACGTTAAATGAACATTTCATGTCAGTTTTTACTGTGCAGAAAGAAATGGAGGTTAGAGAACCCAGGAAAATAAATATTGATATCTTGAAAACAATTTGCATTACAGAAGAGGAAGTGCTGGAGGTCTTAGAAAATATAAAGATGGACAAATCTCCAGGACCTGATCCAGTGTATCCCAGGATGCTGTGGGAAGTTAGGGAGGAAATTGCAGGGCCCCTTGCAAATATATTTGTATCATTTGTAAACATGAGTGAGGTGCCGGATGTCTGAAAATTGGCTGATGTTGTGTTTTTATTTAAGAAGGGATGTAAGGAGAAGCCTGGGAACTATAGATCTGTGAGTCTGACTTCGGTTGTAGGTAAGTTGTTAGAGGTGACTCTGAAAAATAGAGTTTATAGGCATTTGGAGAGGCAAGGAATGATTAGGGATAGTCAGCATGGTTTTATGTGAGGGAAATTGTCTGTCTCAAACTTGATTGAGTTTTGAGGTTGTTGAGGTTGTTTGGCTCGCCGAGCTGGTTTCTTGTTTTGCAGACGTTTCGTTACCATGCTTGGTAACATCCTCAGTGCAGTCTCCGATGAAGCGTCGGTGTGTTTTCCCACCTGGTTTTTAAACTCTCGGGTCCATTGAGATGGATTGCCTCACTTCCGGTTTTCCTTCCTGGTGGAATGTATATGGGGTTGAGTTCAATGTGTTTATTAATAGCATGCTTCGTGGAGTACCATGCTTCTAGGAATTCTCGTGCCTGTCTCGGCCTAGCCTGTCCCAGGATCTTGGTGTTGTCCCAGTCGAAGTGGTGGTTCTCCTTGTCCATGTGGATTGAGTTGAGTGAGTATTGGTCGTGTCATTTTGTAGCCAGTTGGCGTTCATGTACTCTTGTTGTTACTTTCCTTCCTGTTTGTCCGATGTAGTGTTTCTCGCAGTCTCTGCAGGGGATCTTGTAGATGACATTGGTCCTGTCCATGGCGGAGAGTGGGTCCTTGGTTCGGGTGAGCAGTTGTCGTAGGGTTGACATGGGCTTGTGTGCCACTCTGATGCCCAGCAGTCGTAGGAGTCTTGTGGTGAGTTCTGACAT